CTATTGGCATTAAGTACATAGTCAAGTTTCTTTTCTTAAAAAACAAAAAGCTTTAAATTAAGAACTGCAGAATTGAAAAATTATAAATATCTGTTTCAGTTTTCCATGACAGGTCAAATTTGAGTCCCTGACATTAAGGGGATCAACATTTCAGGTCAAATATGCACAGGAATTTTACTGCAAAACCAACAATTATACTAACTTTGTTTTTAATATGCACTTCATAAATCAACCTGATCGGTGAGGCTAATAGATAAAGTGTAAAAATAATATGTTATTTCATGTATAGCAAAACAACACTCCACAGTTCATTCATGAGGCGACACATTGCCACTCTTCAAATAACATACAATATTTAAGGTATATGTGACACAGCAACGACTCCATCACAACCGCTGGGCTGAAAGCAAATGGCTCAGAAAAGAAATGTATTTTTATATGCCGACGACGACGGACCTGGAAACTTCCAACTCAGCCAATTAACACGTCAGGACCGAAGCTTCAGAGTGTCATTTGTGCTCCAAATGAAAATATCAACCCAGCCAGGAAGTGCTGGGAGGACAGGCAACGTGGCAGTCATCACACTCACACACACACACACACGCTCACACACACACTACAGGCAGGATCTGGACCGAGATCCTCCCTCCTTGCTGCTCGCCACAGACTGAGTCAATGTGCTGACCCAGAAGCATCTGCACATCAAAACAAAATTACAATGTGCCTACAGTTGAGAGATGTGGAAGGCTCAGGATTGAGTAAATGTCAGTGGCTGGGGTGAAGTGTTTGCATATAAGCGAATGATGTATGGTCTTGTCCTGTGCCATTTATTCCCCCAAGCAATAACGTAGCCGGATCTGTCTCTCAGACTTAATTGAAACGGGACTTGTAATGTTGCCCTTTTCCTCGATGGGACCAAAAACATAACCTCTGACTCCCACAAGCAGGCAATACTGAGGAGGTGGGTGTGTGTGTTGGGGGTACACAGGGGAAAGAAGGAAGAAAAAAAAAAAAGGAGTGCCAACTGTCACAGCGTTATTTTCTCATCTCTGCACACTCCATGTCCACAGTATCCATACTAACACCGCACATGATGCCCGCTCCACCTTCCCTCTTTCTTCCATCTGCACCTCTGTTTATTTTCCCGTCCGCAGAACAAAGTGTTCTTTCTGTGCATTCAAAAAAAAAAAAAAAAGACGACCCGTCCACATTGGCCACTGCTTCAAGTCAGCACAAGACAACCTATAAAAGTGAAACCTGAACTTTGCAACCCGGGTGAGCTCGCGGAAACACACTGTGCACGCGCACACGGACTCGCACATCAGCAGAGGGACACACATTTAAAAAAAAAGGCACTTTGGGGTTAAAAAATATTGAACAGTCACAGAGACAATTCCTGTCTCCTGTAAACAAGAGTGCAGGAATGAAGCAGTGTCGAGCAACTATTAAAAAGAAATGACAAGTGAAGTTATTGTGGACATCTGTATAAGTGTATCTCTGTCCCTGAGGGAAGAGAGAGACAATGAACAATAAATAACATCTGCCTGGCCTTCCCTGGGTCTGATCCAAAGCAGGGAAATATCTGTGACGTATCTGCGTTTCAGCCCAGCTCCAGCACTCGGAATGAAGACATAAAAGTCGGCGTGTTTTGTGAGCTCCAATTTTCCAATTTAAATTTTAGTGACAATAACAAAACAAACAATGTCATCACTCCGACTTCATTTGCATCGCGATGCGCTCACTGTCGCTGCCTCTCTGCCGCGCGCAGATTTACACACGTCTTAACAGATGTTCTCCTGAATGCACCCACGCACGCACGCGCACACGCACCACACACACTTGTAGCATGTAGGCACGCTGGCAGGAGACGATTACATGTAAGTGATGTGTCTTTTGAGAATAGCAAATGTCACACCAACTAACAAAAAAACAGTCAATGCCAATCTGCTCCGAGAAAATAGGGAATCTATGTATAGAGCTGTTTACTGTGAGTGGAGCGCTGCAGGTCTGGAGACAGAATGTGACAATTTTAAGATGTGCATGCACTCACATTTCCACCCTCTCCCGGGTATTGATTTAAAATGGTGGCTGCATGAATGTACTACCGCAGACCATGTAATCTTCCTTTGAGATGAAGACTTCCGAGAACGAGAGGGGGAGAGGGTGAGAGGGGGTCCACAGACCACAAGCTGGGAATGTGAAATTGTGGACAATTATTTGCTGAGCAAAATACAATGCCTGCCAGATGAACTGGAGCTCAACCTTCGAAAACCCAGCAGCTCCCCCCACTACAAGCAAAAGGCTACAGAGGAAAGTAGTGCATGAATAAGAGTGTGTGTGTGTGTGTGTGTAAGGGAGAAAGAGAGTATGCGTGCATGCATGTTGCTCTCTCATTCTGTCTCTATTTCTTCTCTCCCTCCTCCTCCTCCTCTCACCCGCTCGCACACACACATGCACACTCACGATCAAATACACCACTTCTCCAAAAGGTAAGAAAATACGTACAAATCACACACAATCTCCTGTGAACTGTGTTGCACTCAAAAAAACAAACATCATAAAGTTGTGTAGTGTCCAGGCTTCCAGCTGATGACTGTTAAATCCAGATGTTTCCAACTTATTAATGAACATATACAATTACCACTCAACACTTATCCCACCTCTCCACACACACACACACACCAGTGCCCTCCCTTTCCCCCCCAAACATATAAAATGTTTCCTCCTTAGTTTTCTCAGACAGGGGGTGGTGGGTGGGGGGTGTGAGTCACGTGACTCTGCACCCCATTCCATCAGACAAGTTCCAGGACCAGGAGCGTCTTTTTTCTGTCCCCCCCCCCCCACCCCCCACCATAACACATCCAGATGTTTGCGCTTAAATCATGCACATAAGCCCCCCACACCCTCCACTTGCTTGCCTTTTTGCACTTTAACTATCACTAGATGCACAACACAATGAGCTGCAGCCGATGCATGTGGATCTCATGCATGCGCAATGTGTAAAGATAATAAAACAAGGAGCGATGGAGCCACGAGTTCCGTCTGGAGACTTGTCCATCCTTTCAAAATGAAATTATTCTGAAAGAGAGAGAGAGGAGAGAGCCAGCACACACAGCCGTACTTACCTTTCAGTGATCTTGGCTTAGCTTGCTTGCGGCGCGACATCCTACAGAGAAAAACCCGCTGAAGTTGCTCAGTTTGCGTGTGTGACAATTTGCGGGGGAACACACGGGACAGTGTAAAGGTGCAGCAGTCTGTCTAAATTTCACGGAGCGAAGCCGCGGCTGCGTCTTTACCATCACACCAGGAAAAAAACAGAAAAACAGATGCAACTCTCGCCGCGCTACGAGTTGTTACTGTGAATTATTATTATTGCGGTTGTGATGAGTAGGTGCACCGTGTTATAAAATCCAATCAGACCGTTTAGTGGAGCCGGGTATCGGCGGGGAAAAGTGCGAGAATATCCCGTCATGCGCTTCCATTCTCCGGGCACAGACGCACGCGTGCAGCGGGCATGGTGTTGGAGCAGAAATAAAAGTGGAATATGTTTCGCTTTTTCTCGCCTCAAAATGCATCCGAGTGAGAAAGACACCGGCCGAACGCGTCCTGTGAGCGTGCAGGCAAAAAGGCAACAAAAGCAAAAAAAGGAGGAAAAAAAATGATAAATACACTTTTCACTTCATATCCACCTAACAGCATGAAAACTATGACAGACTCCAGCCCTTTCCTCACTCCAGTCAGCTAATCATGAATTAGGTTCGGGAATCTGATCTAAGTCTACGTCTAAATTGCTCTTAAAAGAGGATGAAGAAGCAGAGAGAAGATGGAAGCTCCCTCCTCATCACAAACCTGCAAGGTCTTGGACTGCGCTGTCGCTCCGGTAGTCCACATAATAATGGAAAATGGAAGCAAGGCCCCCAAAGCCATCAGGATGGCTCCAGAGGGGGCCCCTACCCCGCAGGGACTCGCTCTGTACGTAATCACTGAGGAAATCATTGTCAGCCTGCCTGCACTCACACACAGACAGAGAGGCATGATTAAAATCCGAGGGAGCGCGGCAAGATGCGGAGCGCTGGATCGCCTGCTTCCCCGGATCCGGAGTCGAACTCTACGCCCAGAGTCGGCTCGCTCACCCTGGCGTCTCCTCCGCCTCAGCTCGCCCGTCGGCCACTCTCCGTCTACGGCAGACGGACTGGTCCCCCTTCTGGTGGAAAGGGTTCAGCAGAGAACCATTTTTCTGAAGCGGGGCTGGGGACGTACATGTCACGACAATGGCACTGGATCACTGCATTTATACACTGTGATTGTAATATATGTATTTGTATGCACAGTCTAATGCATCCCAAGGTTTTTGTTGCTGTTTGTAAAGATATTTCTTTATTTCTGGGGGTTTTAAATGATATTTTTGGTTGTGTCAAGAAGTAAAGTCTTGCACCCTTTGATATTATCATGGATTTATTCTTTCTTATTTCATATGCATCATTAAATGCAGCTTTGCCAATCTTTAAAGTTATTAACTTGGTTTGTATGATATTCTTTCTTTCTATCTTTTTTTCTTTAAACATCACCTGCAGATTTCTTTTTTTTTTCTATGTTTCAAATACAGTTTTTGGTTGTGTCAAGACACAAAGTTTGCACCCTTTTATGGTATTATGAAGGATTTATTCTTCATTATTTCATATTTATCATAAAATGCTCCTTTACCAATCTTTAAAATTATGTATTTATGGTATTGTCTTTTTCTTTCTTTCCTTCTTTTTCTACACACTCAGAGGAAAATTAATTTCTCTATTTCTCTGTTTTAATAGTAATCCTGGTTGTGTTAAGAAATATAGTCACAGCCCTTTAATGCAGTGTTATTCTATCATAATCTATCAATCCCACTATCCCTATCTCTCCATCTCTCTACCCACCCACATCTCCGTGTGTCCCTCTGTCCGTCTATCGCTTTTTTCCTTTTTTCTGTCTCTCTTCTTTGGTTTGCACCCTCACCTGCATGCGGATGTCCAGGACCCTACCCCTTGCTACGTGAAAATGAGATCCAGAGAGGAGCCCTGCAGCGGGCTTCTCACTCTGCACTCTCCCTCCTCCACAGCCTCATGCCAGGGCCCCCCCACCTTTAAAAAAAGAAAGAAAGAAAGAAAGAAAAAATCACAGTCACGAAAACCACTTTTCCCAATTTTTGATGCATTTCTATTCTGACTGTTTCACACAGACAAAAGGGAGAGGAAACGGAGATTTCTACTGCAAACCTACAGGGAAGGAGAGAAACTGACGATAGGGCAACTCCCAAACACCGGCTGGTGCAAGAGAAGAGAAAATTAACAACAACCTTTGATAGCCTTTTACTGTGGCGGAATCTAACTTTGTTAAAGAAAATTCACTATAAAAGTTAAGTATAAACATAAAAGTTAATGATGTGAGTACATAACGATGCTGCACTTATTCTATAGGGTGTACATTTTACTTTGGAGTTCATAATGAGGCCTTATTCTGTTAGAAACATCCGAGGTAATCACCTACCACAAAGTAGTAGAGACATAATAGAAAATTCAGAGCTACAATTATTGACTCTCATAAAAATGCTTTGTTATTTTGCATCATATGTGAGAATTACACATAACAATAATAATAATAGTGATAATAATAATAAGTGGGGACATGTGACCTCACATTTGATGTTAAGGATTCACTTCTGTTTGCTCAATCTTTGTAATTTAATCTTCGCCCATAGCTTTTCAAATAATTTCTCCCACCCACCAGCTGCCATAAAAACCTGTGGAAGTAGATCAATGAAGCCGAGTGACACAGACTGACGTGATGTGCTTTGATAGATTCAAAGCCCCCCTCAAACTACAGTAAAGTTGGTAAACACACACATATGAAACATCTATTTGTCGGTGCCTGGAATCTGTCAGGAGGTCTCAGCTGCCTTAAAACTTCAATCTTAACAATGCTCCAAAGTTCCCCCTCTCAGTCTCAGCACTCTGTCAGACGGCTCTCCCAAAGTTTCACCACCTCGCTCACCCGCCTTCCCCCCCTGCACCTCTCGAATGCTCTCTCAAACACAAACAAACAGTGCTCTTCAGTCCTCCAGGGCTCTTTGCTGCTACTTTCATTAGTGACAAAGTAACTGGGAAAAGGTTTGACTTGACTCAGTGCTTGCACAGTTCAGTCTCTAAGTTACAATACTCTCTCGCTCAGAAGTTGTTGTTTTTTTCTCCCCTCTTCAAGTGGAAGAAGCCTCATCTGAGGAGGGATGCTCATGTTGCTCTGGAAAAAAAAAACTGCCTGACATGGCTTGTCCCTCAGGGGTAAACTTATAAATATGGAAAGGAGAATCAAATATAAATTTTGGGGAGCAAATAGGCTCAATGAAAATCAGCAAAAAGGGTTTTTGTTTCAAGTCCCACCTGAGGGGGGAGGGGGGGAAGGGAATCAAACAAAGATAAATAAATAAAAAAAGTGACATGTTTGTCAGAAATATTGCTGCCAGCCTGGAAATTCTTATCCAACGTGTACCTTTATGATATTGCAGACTTAAGCCACTTAATTATTTTGTTATTCAACTCTCTAACCGTGTTGCTCCATTCAGCAGATAAGCTGTTTGAAAGCTTTAAAGGGTAGAAAGGCACAGTCTGTTTTCAGATCACCTTCTTACTTCAGTATTTGTAGTAAAACTGAGCAGCTGTGTGGAGATTTTTCTTCCACCACCCATAGCTTTTAGTTTAGACAGCTAGATGCTTCCACGTATGTGTGTGCCGCGGCATCAGAGATTTCACTCTGCTCCTCTGCAGGATGAACCGTTCCCCAGTGAAATCGACGGCCCTTGGGTGGTGGGATCCTTCGGCATGTTCCTCCTGACCTGTGGCCCTCTCGGCCTCTGTCTGTTTGGCTCCGACAGCACAATGTCAAACAATAAAATAATAAAAACACACACACACAGACACACACACCACAAGTAGAGACTGAACTTTAAAACTCAGAAAGTTTTAATCCCAATGTCTCCTGTAGAAATAATAATCACTGAAGGCTATTTAGTTGAATGCTCTCACAAATGGTGAAAAATGGCGGCTTAAAAGCACAGTCGGTCAATTACACTCGTTAGAAGAGGGCAGATATGCAGACATGCATGTGCACCGGCCACACACACACAAACACACGCACGCACACACTCTTGACTTGCCTCATTAAAACCCATCCAGCTACTAGAACTCAGAGATGTGAATGTCTCCCTTGAGGAGTGGGGCACGATCATTTTGAGAAAGGCAGAAGATTCAACTTTTTTCTTACTTGCTTATAATTACAGAGATTGCTGGAATGCATGACCCTGAGAATAAGGCTCAGTCCTGTGAGAGTCCACCACAAGCATCACCGTCTTCCGTCTTGCTCTCCATCGTGCGTCTCCCTAGTTGGATGCCACCCACACCAGGCAGGACTGAGGTCGAGGCAGTGCCCCCATCACCAGAGGAGTGCTCCCCGGGGACTTTACACTCTGCTCCACCATGCCAAACTCCTGAGGCTGAGAGAGAGAGAGAAAAAAAAGTCAAGAAAGCGAGTGACTGAAAACATTGCCCTCGCTGAGCACTGAGGCACGCTCACAGTAAACTGATTAAAAAAAGAACAAAAACAACATGGAGAGCTCACAATCAGACAGCTTCAGAGTTGGCAAGCGAGGCGTGAGTGCTGCTTTCCAGCTTCACTGTTATCCAAATTGTTGAGCAATTAAACACTGGAGCACAAAACTCTCATATGTATGCAGATCGCATAAACACTGATTATTTCTCTACCAAGAAACAGTGCATGTACATATTTACAAAAACTCTTGGAGTATTCCCTGATAGGCCGGTCAGTAAAAAACATGCATGTTAAAATAAAACAGAAAGTGGCAGGCATCTTGTTTCAACATCCTGACAAACTAAAGGCATGTCAACAAAGTACAGGGAATGCGGAGTGACTGGTCCTCATCAACAGTGACCTTCCAGCTGGATATCCACAACTTCCATCTTCCCAAGCCAAGGAGCCCCACGGAGCAACTCCCAAACCGGGTCATTAGCACAGTGGTGTCACCAGACAGCAGATCACGGGCCAGAGAGGGAGCGAGAGGGGGACTCCTGGCACTGCAGTGGCTGCTGTGCGGTTTGACATTCAGGGCTGGCTGATCTATGGGGCTGGGGAGACAGTGCCCTTGCTCTGGGTCTTCATGAGGAGAAGGTCCTGGCAGTTTTCCCCTTACTTACTCCATCATAAAGCTAAGGTCACGAGATGTTCGACTCACATAGCCTCCGCTTGCAACACCGCGACCCGAGCTGTAGGATGTTGTCATAGCTTTGGTGACAATGTTATCACCTGCACCACTGGATGCTCCATGGAAGCCAATTCTACAGTGGCCATGAGGCTTAGAACTTAAGAGAACACATGTATGCAAATAAACACAGCACACGTGTAAATGAACAACTTGCTGAAAGTACTCACAACACATCAAAATCACACAACCAAATACCCACAGTGCAATGGAAGAGTATTTCCCAGGGACACTAAAAAGATGAATACAGGGGAAACACGCTGCTTGTTTGTTGACCCGTGAAGTTAGAAGTTAAAGTTTCTCTCAAAGTTTTGACTTACTTCAACATTGTAATTGAATGATTCTGATATTTTCTAATAGGCCAACATGCCTCATTAGCCTTGTGTTTATTATTAGCCTGTCAATTCACTCGGAGGAAATGCACTTCACTGAGAAACAGGCTTTTATATTAGCTAGCTATAAAACATGCTAACTTTTTCAGATAAATAACGCCCAAGTAAAGAGAATGTTAATCTGGCAAAGACAAAGTTAGCATGTTATATAGCTAGCTAACATGTTGTGACATGTTAGCTAGCTATATAACATGCTAGCTACATTTCATTTCATGAAAAACACTAGTCCTTTGTTCATAGGACATCTTTACTTAATTGACGGTTTATTATCTGAGTTGGGTGTCTACTGTCTAACATCCTGTCTTTTTATAAATTATTCTGTCTTTCTTAATTTACAATAACACTCACCACTTTGTGCTGAGCTCCCCTGGCAAAAGGCCCAAAACCAGCAGGAAGTGGCCTTTTAAGCCCTGCCCACAGGAAGTGGAGGGGGGGGGGGGTAGATTTAGAATGAAACCTTTATGTTTGACTTTGTTATTATTGTTTAAAGTTAATCCTATTGGTTTGTTGTATATTTGTGTATGTTGATAGTTTATTTGGGTAGTTAATGTTAATGTATGTTTGATAAGGTTTCCCCTGTGTGCCTGTCTGGATTAGTCTACCTGTGTTTATATACAACCTGTGTGTCATTTGTAATGGAAGGTCTGTTAGTGATGTTGAAACTGTAGTTGTCTTATTGCTTAGTTAACCTATTTTTTCTTCTTCATGTTGTAAATTGCATGGATACTCAGTTGTTTGTTATTTGAATTCTTTTTTACAACTTTATTTAAAAGAGACAATTACGAGTATTTGGTTGTGTTATTAGTATTTGGTTGTGTTATCAAAACTCACTCCTTATAGACTTATTATTATCATTATTATAACATCCTCAATATTCACCTATGGCTCATTTCCTGAGACCAACTTTTAATTACTTGTCATAACAATAACCTGCACAGAGATGTTAAGTGGCATGGAGTATCATTTAACCACACTGGGACGGTTTCGTAGTGTGATCAAAAATCATTCTCTGGGTTTTATGTCCTTCTCAAATGGCTTTGACCTCCACCGCACCGTCTCCAGCAAATGGTGACCACTATGAACATGCCAAGAAAGAGGATCCCCTGGGGGCATTACCGTGAGCCAAGACGGACATAAAAATCTCCCAGCAAAAGATGGACATTTTCCACTTGGCACGCAAGATAAAAGAAAAAGATAGCGACCCTTTCAACACTTTTTTTGACTGATATGATAGTGTGTGGGGGTTTTTTCTTGCTCATTACCACTCTCTCATTAGGAGATCTTCGCTTTAAGACGAGATCAAGCCCACTCACCTCTCTGTACGCTGGTAGTTAACTTAGCAACAGTGTGTAACTGTGCTACAGAGCCGCTCATCATACAGAACATTCTACACATTCGGCCACACTCACCTCAGTGTGGTACTGATTACCATGTTCAGTTGATCTCTGGATTTAATCATTTAGAGAATTATATATTTTCTTTTAAATACATTTATATGATGGCTTAAAAGAATGCCGCAACTGCTTCTGTGTATAACAAGAATCAAATCCAGTGATTGGGTCTCTATGACTTTTTTATTCTTACAAATATCTACATCTGCAATGACGAGAGCACAAATGAAAGCGTCTTGACTCTTGTGCAGTGTAATGAGCTGTAGTGCAAATTAAGAGCAGCCATCTTCTCATCAGCCCGTCCAATTTACTTTGGGATTGTCCCTGGAAAATAGGCAGCTGTGTAGAATGATTGGTGTGTTGTAGTTGTGTGAAGGCATGCGGATAAAGAAGGCTCTGAAGGATTAGAAGAACCCTCAATCCCAGGCCATGCTCGCATTATTCATCACACCTCCTCCTCCTCCTCACCCTTCTCACCTTCATCACTCCCACCCGCCAACCACCTCTCTCTCGCTCCCCGATGACTCCACCACTTGCCTGACAGTTGCATAAGCCCAGAGAACCTCTCTCCGGACGACGGTGGTGGGAGTTGGGAGTTGGGACGGTGTTAATTAAAAGAAAAGGTTAACACATACAGGGCCCGGCAGAAGGTGCGTTGAGGAGGCTCCCTTGGTAGAGCAGATGCTAACTATTCCTTACCTCAGAGGCCCCCGGGAAGGGGCCCGGCAACCAGGGATGGAAGCCAGGTGATCAGGGACACCAGGATGAAGGAGTGACTAGGGCATAAAGGATGAAGCTGATTTGACCCTCACACTAAGGATCAGCCAGGGGGTGTAGCGAGTGGTTCTACTCACCTGTCCAGTGCCTCCCTGCCCAGGCCTCGGTGTAGAGCTGATTAGTGTGTCCCAGAGAAGGTTTCACCTCCCTAAACACCGCCCACACACACACATGCCTTCGTTAGACAGTGGGACGTGTGCCAGGCCCATTTACAGGAGTGTGTCAGAGAGGAGAGGAGAAACAGGCAAAAAGGTGAGAAGAAATGAGACAAGGAGGGGAACACAAATGACCTCTCTGAAGGAAAAGCAAAAGCGGACACCAAAAGGAGAAGTCCGAGGGGTTGCAGGGGTCCGGGGCCCAACAGGCAGCGTGGCACCGAGCACACAGGGAAGTTGAGTGTTGGAGAATTAGCCCATCAAGATCCTGCACAGCTGCTGTCGCTGACTGCACCATGTGTGATGTACTGTCTGAGGGAGATCATTAAATAATGATGAATTATCATATCATATTGCCCAAATAGCATTATTTTGAAAAAAGAATATTCATACGGGAGAATAGTTGGCCTAGTTTAGGAGAGCTAACACTGGAATAGGTGTTTAGCATCAGTTGGGAATAAATGATAAATGGATCACACAGCAGCAATATTTTAAAGATGAATTACTTGCAGTATTTTATGAAATCTGTTTAATATTTTGGAAAACACCTTTTTTTAAATAAAGACAACTTTCAAAACAATGATTTATTCTCTGTATTTTGGTTTTCTTCCATTGTACAGTTTAATTATCCCCATCACTTCTTTCTCTTTCACAAATAATTTGCAGCATTCACAGTCTTGGGTCAATATATTGTGACAATCAAACATGGCACACTGGTTGCCACTTAAATTAATTCCGATAAATACTCATGAGCTTTTAAGACAAACAAGAGGGAGTGAAACAGTTTTTCCTTCCGTTCCCCCCCAAACAAGCAGAGATAATTAAACATCTATCCTCAGAGAAGCGGTGCTCCCACTGGAAGGTTGTTTGGTTTAAGGATTTGCTCAGTGGTTTGACTCGCCAGGGACTCTCCATTTGATTCTCAAGGTTTTATATCTCTAACAAGGCTTTAATTGCCAAGGTAACAGACCACCTGATTAAGCCTGACAATAAGTCTGCTTTATCTGTGAGGTAGGAGGGAGCTCAGCAGAGCGCAGAGGACGAGGAGGATCTATTCAAATTCAGCAACCATGAGAGTTGTGTATTCATGCTCAGTAAGCTGGCTGCTATTTTATAAGGCCAATGAGCAGAGAAGCATATTGTATTGGTCATGCACCTAAGCAGCGGGAACCTGCCTCAAAAATTCTATTTACTCCACATCAACTTTGGAAATTCACAGATACTTGCAGGGAAGAGCCTCTAATTCTACCGAGAGCATGGAGGAGGCGGCACTCAAAGCCTCGGGTCCCATGCCATGTGCCCTCCTTATTGTAACGAGTGCATTTCTCTCCTCAAACTCTGACTGGTGAGTGCACTGAGGAGGAGGAGGGGTATTCTTCAGAGGAGACGGCGGGGGGAGGAGGGGGAGGCAGCGTCTGGTGGTGAAAAACTCTGTGTTAAAGTCCCATCTCTCCTGTCAGAGGGCTGACACGGGGCATCCAGGGACGTGGGGCTTTTGGTGCTCTGAGTCTGGACACTGGCCTAGTTTCCCCCCCCACCCTCTGACTTCTACTGCCCCCACCCACCCACTCGCGCCGCTCGTACAACATCCCACCTACAAAACACAGCCACCCCATCTCATCTGTTCTTCACTGTCATCCTGACCTCAATGAACTGCCCTCCTCCTCCTCCTCCAACACAACACCTCCATCCCTTCATGTCCCTTCTTGCCTTCACTCTCTTGCTTTACCTCTACGATCCTGTTAAAAATATTTAAAGTCAGCTTGAAGATAGAAATAAAGGTTTTGTCCACTGTAAACAACGAAAGCTGGCTGTGCCACAATTTCCATAATACAAATTAAATGCAGGTTTATGTGCTGTGTTCACAATAAAAAGCACAAAAAAATATGCTCAAATCAGTATCGACAACATTCTCCGATAAATCAATGCATGAAAATGAAAGTGGAGAAGTGGCTAACATGACTAGGTCAAACAACACCAGGTCAGGTCATACGAATGGACCTGCTGTGGCGCACACTCAACCAATCATGAGTCAGTTTCACGTGTCAATCGTGAAGTTTCACTCAGTTTTTATAGCATTGAATACCTAACTAACTAACTAACTGTTTGGCTCAGGTCCCATCCACTAACATGGAGGAGCCAGGGTTTATAATTAAGACCGCTGTTAGCCACCAGGTGGCGATCAAAATACCTTGGCTTCACTTTTGTTTTTTTTTGTTTTGATCAATATTTAAAGTTAGAAAAAGTATTTGGAGAAATATTGTAAATATGTGTACTACACTTTCTGAGCCAGACCACACCAGCATCTAAACAGACATTTTACATGCTGTTTAATGTGCTGCAGCCGAGCAGCGCTGCTTAGCTACATGTAGTCTGTGCTGCAAACTGATTTTGAACAGAATTGAACTTTTCCCCTGGTGAATGTTTGGATGACAGAAGCGTCCGTGTTTGTGAGATGGATAAGGATGAGGAGGGTTCAACAGGAAAGTTAATGTGGGTGGTGGAGGGCTGCTGTCAGGCTGTTTGTCAGTGTGACCGTCTTTCGGTTGACAAGAGGCGCTATCGTGGAAGTAAAATGTGCCTCTCTCCATTGGCATATGATTTACATGGAAGATATCAGAAAACAACATGAGGTTGGACTTTAACTCAACATCCACCAAAGCTTTGAAATTAATCCCTGAAGACAGTTTTCTAAAACATATATTCTTGCATTATAAATATCCAGATGGGATTTATCTCTTAAAGTAGGTCATCTGTGTTTTAAAGTTGCTGTGAATGGGTGCTAAAGAATTGGCACTCCCAGTTAGTCTCATGGTGAGATTACAGACAATTTTCCGTCATTGTGAGAAATGATAAAGGTGTTGTAAAATCATTCTTGGAACAGTTGGTACTCTCTGTCAAATACAGTGAGAAAAGCATGATAATACAAATAATATCTTTGAAGATTGACTATTTTGTTAAACTGTTGCAGCATTTCATTTCCCCCCCTCCCGTCCTCAGATCACAGGTCCTCTTTTCAAAGCTTTGCCTGTGTGACATTATAAAACTGCTGCTGTATACAAATGACTTTATCTCACCCAACCCC